CCGCCAGAGAGTAGAAATGATGAGATTAAGAATGGAGATTTCGTAAAGCGGCTGTTTTCATCAAGCCAATCAAGTCCAATTCCCCCCGAATGTAGCTCGTCGTAATGTTGCATAACGCGGTCCAATTGTCGCCCAAGAAATCCTAGTATTCCGGTGGAAATTTGCGATCACCCGAGCGACACGGGTAATAGGATATCTGCCCTTAGCCCTCCGCAAACAACGGCGCACGAAATAACACGTGGCTGCCAAATAACTATATTGCGATGCGGCGAAGGGGAGCAAAAATTACCTTGGGAAGTTACGCACGTGTGTAATGCCCGGTCTTCCTCAAATGTACATGGTATAGGGCTCGGGAAATGTTATAGATAGACGCAGAAACGCTAAATTTAAATCCGCCCATTGGTAACGCGTACATAAGATAATAGAAAGGTTAGTAAAAATTGTGTCGATAGTATATATGCGAGAGAGAAAGAGAGAGGACGTATGAATATGTAGAGTACGGAATACGCGTTGCACACGATGTTTGCCTCACGCACGATTGCAGCGGGTTAAAAATATATGATGACGATGAATTTTAACTCTCGAAGGTCGACGGACTCTGTCCCACCCTTCCAACGTTATCAATTCCGTCCTATTAGAGGGGCACGAATTATACACGTTAGCGTATAACTCTATTATTAAAATATGTGTATAGCCTCGTAACGCGTATTCTAATATTTTCCATGTTTTTGTGATAAAAAGGAGCTATTGTTTTAAACGCGGGTCACTAGATCACTTGGCTGTCTTATCCAATTCTTTTCTCTTCTTCTGACTTATGTCCATTTCCATCAATGCGGATTAACTTGCCTTTTATCTTTTTCTAGAGCTCTATAAAGAATAAAAGGCAGGTTAAACCGAGATTAAAGTTAATCCGCATTGGTAGAAATAGACATTATATTATATAGTTATGCTTGACCCAAATTGAAGGCGCCGCGAGTTCATCAAAGATAAATTTCCGTTTCCGTGGCACAGATTTGCAACTGTATCCCCCATTCATTCCCGGGCTAATGGAACGAATTTATCATTGTCTCTCTCTAACAGTCCGCGAATTGTTCGACCGCAAAATATTGTCGCCGTTGCAGACGCGGTTGTGAACTCGGCTGAAAAGGTGGAGGGCCCGGGGACGCGAGGAGCCAAGGAGTCGGTGAACGACTCGAAGGACGAAGACGGATCGGACGTCGCTTCGACTCTGAGCGGCCTGCTCGCCGGTCTTCCGACCTTGGCGGGCTCCCAACGCCTCGCCAATTCCCTCAAGCAGAAGTTCGCCAGTAACTCCGGTAAGTCGGTGAAACGCCGTTTTTTTTTACACGTGCGGTCTTCTTTCGTACGTCGGGAAGACTCGTTGCCGTAGTGGAGCTCGTCGATCGATCGCGTTGCGCCATTAACGAGAGTCACGATGATGACGACGATTGACAGGCGCCATTTCGCAAACGCGCGAAGAATACGCGGAGGAGCCATCGCGTCGTTCCGGACGGTCGCCCGAAGGTCCCGGCTTAAATGTTAGTTCGCGTGTTATTATAGTAATTTTCTATCAACCGGGGCACGCGTCTTTTTACCGTCGTAAAAAATTCCTGACAAATTAGGATAAGATAACGATAGAGTAAATAAATAATGTAACTGCAAGATCCTCCGATAAATAATTCACTTCTCGAAAGAAATAAATTAGATTAGGTAGATTGTTAATCTAGATTGTTAAAATGTCAGGAAAAAGTTGATAAGTGCACTTTTTGTTAACTGCACTTGTCAATCGTTTCCGTCAGACCGCGAGATATTACTTCAGTTTCTTTCTACGATCTTCAAATCTTTTGAGAAACACTCTTTAAGTTATTTCATTACACTATTAAAGTATAATTTAAATCCGCCATTTTTTATCGTGCTTTTGCGCTATGCTTCTGGTAATTAAAAAAATATATAAAAGGCGAGGAATTATAGAAAAAAAATTTAAAAAAATGAAAAAATTGCATCTATAATAAAAGAAGAAAATGCCTACTTTAGCGCAATTCTTTTTTTTTTCATGGAGTTACTTTAGCTATTAATTTTTTCTAGCTCCGATAAATAACGATAAATAAAATAATGCAAATTTAAATAGTAAAATCTTTACATAAAATAATTTTTAATGGAACCCAATTAATATACATTATTTATTTTTTTTATCTTAATTGGTCATTGTTTCAACGATCGAAAACTTGACAAAGAAAAACAATATTGTCCACAATTACTACCAAGCCATTCCCTTCGACACTAACACCCGCGAAGTGATTAGCGATGACCCTGATGACAAGCACGTCACATCGACCCTCGCCTCTTGTTTTCTCAATACTTTTTTTCGTGCTGTTTATATCTCCGCCGTAATGCGATACGCAATACACCAGCAAGGCTCGCTCAGGTACATAGAGTCGATCCCGTGACGTCTTATCGTGGGGGAGCCTCTATCCGGTATCGTGTTCTCTTTCACGCGCGCGAAGGGGAGCACAGCCTACGAGGAAAAGCCAAGCCGAGTGCGGGCGTGCGTTTCCGCAACGTGTTTCTTTCGCGCACGCAAGACGGTAGTTGATGCGTTCATGGTGCTCGCGGGGGTTACAAAGCTGGGGTCGGGGGGTTGAGGGGTGATGGGTGAATGGATATCGTTTCGCGCTGACCACAGGCCGGGTCAGGGCTCCCCTATCTTCTCCTCTCGGCAACTCTTTCCCTCAGTCCCGAGTCGCTTCTCCGAATCCGCGTTCTCGCGAAGCGGTTTGCCGTCGCGCGTATAGAAGCGCGCGCGGAAGCGTGTTGCACGCGAAGTCAGTTTGTTTCCGCGAGCTAATCGTTGCCAAATCGGTGATCTGTTGTAGGTTACCCCCGGCCCGGCCTGATGCGCGCCGCCCCAATCGCGACGATCTCGTCGTCACGCTCGCTTCCCGAGGTCACACGACTGGTTGTGACCGCGGTTAGTCCCTTCCACTAAGACACACACAAAAAGACCCAGAAGACGCCGGTCGCCCCGCGAGCGGCTACACCTAGGAACCATGACGACGATACCGATACTCAACATGGAGTTCGGTGAGCTCAAGGAGATCATCTGGACGAAGCTGCAAGAGCCGAAAGCTCAGCGCAAGCTGATCCTGGTCATCGTCTGCGTGGCGCTGCTACTGGACAACATGCTGTACATGGTGATAGTACCGATTATTCCCGATTACCTTAAATATATTGGCGCGTTCGGCGAGGTCGAGGAGGAACCGGTCAACGCTACTGGCGCGCCTAGTCATCACGGCCAGGACTCCGCCACGGGGGTGCTATTCGCGTCGAAGGCAATAGTGCAACTGATGGTGAATCCGTTCTCCGGCGCGCTGATCGATCGGATCGGCTACGACATTCCGATGATGATCGGTCTCTGTATCATGTTCCTCTCGACCAGCGTGTTTGCGTGCGGCAAGAGCTACGGCGTGCTGTTCTTCGCCAGAAGCTTGCAGGGCGTTGGCTCCGCGTTCGCCGACACCGCCGGTCTCGCTATGATCGCCGATCGCTTCACGGAAGAGTCGGAACGCTCGAAGGCGCTCGGCATCGCACTGGCGTTCATCAGCTTCGGCTGCCTGGTCGCGCCGCCGTTCGGAGGTGCCCTCTACCAGTTCGCCGGCAAAGAGGTGCCGTTCCTGATCCTGGCGTTTGTTAGCCTGGCGGACGGTTTCATGTTATTGTTGGTGATGAAGCCGATCAAGCAACAAATGCAAGATCGCCATAACAATGCCGCCAAGTCAACGATACCGATCTGGCGGCTGCTGATAGACCCGTACATCGCCGTGTGCGCGGGCGCCCTGATGATGTCCAACGTCGCGCTCGCCTTCCTCGAGCCGACGATCTCGCTGTGGATGGAGGATACGATGACGCACGACAACTGGAAAATTGGTATGATCTGGTTGCCGGCCTTCGTCCCGCACGTGCTCGGCGTCGTAATTACCGTGAAGATGGCTAAGCAGTATCCGCAATATCAATGGCTGATGGCGGCGGGCGGCCTCGCGCTCGAAGGTCTCTGCTGTTTCATCATACCGTTCTCTAGCTCGTACGTGGTGCTGATGATACCGCTGTGCGGCATCTGCTTCGGTATCGCGCTTATCGACACCGCGCTGCTGCCCACCCTAGGCTACCTAGTGGACGTTAGGTACGTGTCGGTGTACGGTAGCATCTACGCGATCGCCGACATCTCGTACAGCTTGGCATACGCGGTGGGTCCGATCATAGCCGGCGGGGTCGTCGAGGCGATCGGCTTCACCGCCCTGAATATCGGCATCGCCTTCTCGAATCTGCTCTACGCGCCGGTCCTCTACTACCTGCGTCACATCTACGACTTCAAGCCGTTCCAGGACGAGGCAAACGTGCTGATGCAAGATCCGCCCGACAAGGAGTACCAGACGTACGTGCTGCAGGAACAGCGGCCGATCACCGGCGAGATCGGCAACCATTTGAATCAGACGCGTATGGAGACGAATATCGATCAGGGTTACGATCAGAACTATCAGACGGCGGGGCAGATCGGTTACGATCAGCGCGCCGGCGGTTATGGCGCGCAGAACACGATCGGCGGTTACAACCAGCCCGCTCACGAGCAGCCGCCGGTCTACAATCAATCGGCTGGCTACGCTCAGCCCGGCGACTACGGTCAACAGAGGAATTACGCGGCCGAGCGCCAGGATCAGCGGGGTGCTGCCCAGGCTGACATAAACCCTTTCAGAAGGCCGGATCCGGCGGATCAGCGGCCGGCCGGGGACAGCAACCCCTTCAGGCAAGGGATGTTCTAAAGCGACGTCCGTCGCCGAGTGTCGCCGTAGCGGTCTAACTGATCGCGCATGCGCGTCCCCTTTGCTCGAGAGTGTGTTCGAGAGTCTTCGTGACAGGCTTCCACTTATATCGGCAAGAAAAAGAATCGACGTCATCGCGGAGCACGGCGGCTCGGCGGTACTCCCGGGCAGCGATGGCGATCGGGACGCTCGATCAGGGGTGAGGGGAGGATCGCCGATCGCGCCAGCGCGGCGTTCCGCCGAATCTCGATCGTCCTCCGGAGTATCGTCGGTGTTTATCGGGGATGGCAGGTGCAACGACTTCCAAAGTGATTCCCTCGTCCTGGCTCGAGCTTCCGTGCGCAGCTGGTAATACGAGTTGCGAGGAAAGAGAGGAAAGGAAGAGACGGGACGGGTAGGAGACGTTGAGAGAAGTGGAAGGGAAAGCACGGTCGGATAAGCACGCGGAAAGGACAGTAGTCGTCTTCGTCGGGAATAATAAGGACCTTAAGGAGAATAACTACATCGAAATAAAATTAGAGTGAGAAGACGGGGGGATGTGTCGGTGCTATGGAAGAAGGAGAAAAGAGACAATATTCTTTATTCGGGCTGCAAGAAATCATTGCGCGAACTGTAGACGGATCGAAAAATAGAGGGAGGATTCACGGCCGCGACGAAGGCTTCCCATCAGCAAGGACCTTCGCTCGCGGATTGCCGCTGGGCAAGTCTTGAGTTTTTAATGCTTTCGTTTGAGAACCGTACATTGCTGAACGGAAATATCATATCACTAATTAAGACGTCAGAAATCTAGGAAATAAGGCTTTAAGTTAAGTAGGCGATTGTATAGTTGTGGGGTTGTGATGAGGGCGGTCGATTTGCCCCACGAATCGCTCTGTATTGGCAAAGTACTCTCATCTCTGCTTCGATTTTTAAATACTCGTTACTAAAACGCCATAGACAGCATGTTAATAGTGAAACTTATATTACAAGAATTGTTTTCGGTGATTCAAATAAAACGCGTATATATTCTAAAATTGTTATTTGTTACATATTCTATTATTAATAAACAATGGGTATAAGCATTACGAACATTGATGGAAATGGCAGGTAATAATTAAAGCTGTTCTACTAAAAAATTTTTATTCCAGGTAATTTTCAATCTCTGAAAGCTTGTCCTTATACTCATTCCTTGTCTTTAAAGGAGATATGAAAAGAAAGTTATTTCTGCTATTTTTGAACAGAATCTAAAACGATGTCTTTTGCAATATTACCAACAAAAACACACATATAGCGTTAGAATTCTAAAGAAGTTGACTTCTATTTTGTTAAATAATTAAAGATTGATAAGTTAATTTTATAATATAACCCTAATATTTATAACATTTTACGATGTTTTTCTCTAATTATAATTATCTGTTTCTTCGCTTCAGTGTCATACGATTTCTTTCGCACTAATTGAGTACTTTGCCGCAATAATGGAGCAATATCAGTACCAAAGCGCGAGCGCGTTAAAGTAAACATATCTGTATTTTTATGAGATTACTTTTCTAATTGTAGGGATATATATTTCGTTCGAATACTGGTCACAGGGGGGGGGGGGGAAGGGAGTTCGGTTCACGCGGAAAATCGCGTGTGATATCTAGACGTATCTAGGCGTGCATAATAATTTCTATATGTATGTAAATATATCAAAAATTTTATTATGTGTCGGAGTGACTTGGACGCAAGGTTTCGCGGTGATTATCGCAAGCTGCTCTCTCAAGATGCATTTCTATTTATTTTAGATACATTATTTACTCTATTTTATTTTTTTTAATTATTCTAAAGTAATAATTATATACTTTAACGTTGCTTTGCAGAGCAATGCACACATGCATAATTATTTTTTAAAACACAAAGCAGGGTGAAAAAGAAAAGATAGAACAAAATTCCTTTCTTGAGTTATTTAGAAGAAGATTATTTAGATATATAAAAATTTGCTTTTACGATTTTTCTCGGCGATAGCCGGCAAGCCTTACGGCCGAGGGCACAGCACACATTCGTACCTACTCGTCAATACTAAGAAACATCGCGAGAAGCAAATAAATAAGTTGTTAATCAACTATAGCACTATACACACATATACCGGCACGGCGATTACATCGCCGGCGTGTTGGACGCGAAAAGAAGAGGTTCCTCGATCGTCAGGGAATCCGTTTCGCTCGCGTCGATCGGACTTCAGGACCACTCGCCCATCGTCGCGCGGATCCTCGAGAATTGATTCGCGAGTGCTTTGAGTTAATTCAGTGCCTGAACTTTGCAGTTTTTATCCCCGTGGTCGCGTAGTACGAGCGAATAATTGTAAAGCTCTCCCCATAATAGATACATATCCAAGCAAGTAACCCGACCTAACGTAACGTAGATACACTCTCTATATTAGACCGCTATACATATGTACCTAAACATAGGCTACGCGTTTCTGTTTTATAGCCGCGTGGAAGAGAGAAAGAGCGTGTTTTATCCTCCGCAATGACATTTCGTTTCTATGAGCTGGCCTCTAAAGCTAAGGATTTTACCAGGTAACGGCAACGTCTGGCCTGGTTGATGGTTATCGTCGCGATTTCGCCGAACAAATCGAGCGAAGGTCAATGCAATAAGATCTCGAAAGTAATTAGATAGATTTTGTGCTTCTCTAACTCTTTAATATTGAAATGTCACTTTTAGCTGAAATCATTAAAATAATTAGATATGTTAATCAAATTCTAGGATACATTCTCAACTGGTAATTTTTGGTACTTTAATAAACATTCTTTTTTTCGCTCATTATTTTAAGAATTTACATTTGTGACGTTAATCTCTTATCTTTTCGATTCAAGACCAGTGAGAAATCGAGTTTACAAATGTTACAATGTTAAAGTGATTATGTGATAATTATCGGCAAGGCGTTGCGTCAGTTGCACTACGGTTATACATACACATTACTATATATATATTATTACTATATATATATATATATATGTATATGTGTGTAATGTGTATGTATATATATCGTATATAAAATTATATTCGTAGCTTCTTCTGCTCTTGTAAATATATATTACGCGCGAAAATGAGAAGAAAGGAGCTTTTTCCTTCGCGTGAATTCGTCGCGTATTGAGTGTCCCGAAACTGTCACTCCTTTCTTTTTCAGTTACGAATTTTTTTACCTTTATTTTTGTAAGAAAAGCTCAAGCTAGAATTCTGTTAAAACTTTCGCTTAAAATTGGATTTTATTTGCTTTCTATCTACACAGCTTACTATGCGAAATAATCCGTTTCATTTTCAATCGCGCTTACGTTTCGATCGAAGCCACGATAATCGAAGCAAGCATTCGTTGCTCGTTCGACTTCTCTAACAAGTCGTCTTCGTGGTCTTCGATAGTGGCAGTAGTCCCGGGGCACTCGGTGTATCTTGCCTACTTGTATCATATCGTTTGTAAGTGTTGTGAACGCGACAGTTGTGTGTACGTGAGTATAGAATCCTCTTTCTTCTGCGTCGGGACTGAAGGCCAGTGCTGGGCAAAGGTGTTATTGTCTTGACACTAGGAATAGAATCTGAGGATTTTAAAAGTGAAATAGAAAACTGAATCTTGTTGGAACGAGATAAGTTTCTCTTTGAATAAAGAAGAAAAGACATATACATATACATTTCTCGCGTTCCTCGAAAAATAGTGAGTTACTTTTTTAAAAACATAGTAAACGCATTAAAAAGTTTTTTGTTTTACCAAAAAAAGGATCCTTTATTGAAAAAATATTATTTTGTTCCTGATAATTATTTTTCTCTCGAAAAAGGAAATTATCGCTAATTTCATTTTGCTTTTGAGATCCTCAGCTATAATTATATAATATGAAAAACTTACTGTTATTGTACACATACACAAATTTCGTTAAGTTTCGACGATTATATGATGTATAATTTGTTATAACTGTTAAGTCGGAGTGGAAACGACAAGAATTTTCTTTATTGTGTACAGAAGATTCCTAAATTCCACATATTAATAACCTGTAGATAATTATTGGACAATTTGCGGATAATTCGTTGCTTCTTCTACGCTTGAGAAAAAATTCTAAATTAAGAAAGCGATTTGGAGTCTTCAAGATATTCATCGATTTAGGCTCTTAAACTGCTAATGTGTAAGTAGCTTCCTCGGTGACATACATAATACGTTGTGCAAAGCGAACGAAGCGCAAAGTGCGTTCTGTATATATATCAAAACCTTGCTCAGCACTATCGGGAACGACGTTTAGAGTGAAAACACGGGCGCTAGTTTCCCAACGATATTTTTCTCACGTCTAATTCCCAAGTGTTGCGAAGAAGGGAGACGGCGAGATGGGAGCAGTCCGTTACGACAGAACATCGCAATACGCGAGAACACATATCACAAGATGGAGGGAGGGCGGAACGAGGAGAAATGGTCACCGGGATTATATGTATCTAATTATCCGTGCATAATGTATATTATCCGTGCGCGATGAAGAAGCGATCGTGCATCCCGAGATTATCCGTAAGCGTAGCGTAACTTAACTGCAATACATCCGCACTTTGCGCGTAACATACACACACATAAAAACACACACATGCATATACATATATATATATATATACACACACACACAACACGCAGATACATAAAACAGGTACATACATTCAGTATACATACATACACTCGTGAATTCTATAATTATATACGCAGACACACACACACACACACACACACACACACACACACACACACATGTATGTATATTTATTTGATGAAAAACCAAGTAATTCGAAATGCGTATGTAATTGAAATCCTATGACACTGTAATATTGTTGAACCGGTTATTAAAGATGTCATTGTTACCGAAGAATACTACGTGTTGCACTTTATGTCACGCCAGTTTGCCTCAGTTTAAGGAGTTCTAGGGTCCGACCGAAAGAATCTTTTTTAATTTCGGCCGAAACTGAAAACGAATATTCGGCCATATGTAAATTTCTGTCGAAACCGAAGCTTTCATGGGAATCCTAGAAAGGCCATATGTACATACGCGCTCATATACAAGAGGAAATGGTGATAATATGGAATCCCACTTTGTTTTTGACCGATTTCTTGTAAATTATAAGCTTAATTTTTTCATTCCTGATATGTTTAGGTTCTTTATTCTATTGCCAACCCATTTCTAACTTTCAATTTATAATTCTTCACTTACAAGATAAGTTGTATAAAGCATTATCAAAAAGTGAGCAGTTGAGTCGTAAGTCATAATGTGCTGATTATTAGACCCCACTATTTTTTTAAGTGCAAAAATATAAAAAAAATCACAAAACGTTGAATGCTTTTCAAAAAAAGTAATCGATTAAAAACAAACTATTGTGAAAGAAATACATAGTAAAAAATATATTGTCCTATCAAAATAGATAATTATATAATAAAATAGTTAAAAGAAGAAATTTATTTTCTTTCGTCTATCGGCAAAAATCACATATACGTATTCTTTTTTCTCTGCTCCTGCACACTCATTGTGAGCTCAGACTACATTGAATCCACAGACGTTGACCCAGTGCCTTGGGGGTCCATAATACAAACATTGACATCTTGAAAAACAATAGCGGCTGCAGCAAAATGAAAAGGACTAAATATTCTTAAACACGTGAAAATATTAGATAATATCATATATGTTAAGTGTCTGGCTCTAAAAGTTATCTGTTAATCATGGATAGTTACAAATAAACAAAGTTTTACGTACTTTTTGAAAGGTTTGAAAATCGACAAAACAGAAATAGATTAATTAATCTACCGCCATTAAAGAATCAATGAACCTACACAGTTGGAAAACTTGTGTTAAATTTAACACAATAAATCACATGTCCCAAACGTCCACTCAAATTTTTGTATTAATTTAATATAATATGGATGTGTTAAATGGTAACACTGATACTATGTTAATATTTCAACAAAAAAAGAAATATAATTGTGATCGTAATTTGAAGTCAATTGGGTGTACAATTAACATAACTTTTATGATGAAATTAACATATAAGAAATGTTCTGTTTACATTTTACAAATGTAAACAACTTGAAAAGAGTATTGATTTTACTCTATAAGAGTAAAATCAACACTCTTTTTCTGTTTTCAAGACATTTAATAAATACGTACAAATTGTGTTACTTTAACATATTTTTAAAATCATTTTAATAATTTTACATTTTATATTTGTTAAGTTCACTTAAAATAGCAGACATGTGTTAAATTTACACATGAATATGTTTATTATTTGACACAAAAACTTTAACCAGCAGATTTTTTCATAAAAGTACACAATAGGGGTATTCAAATAAGTTAGAGTTTAATGGTTTGACAGGTTATGTCGGGTTAAAGTCGGGTAAAAAGTTAATTTTTACACTTTTAACTCAAAGATTAATGTGATAGGTTAATGAAACAGTTATGTATTTTGCATAACCTTAAAGAGTAGCGCGCCCAAAGTTAATTAATTAACTTTTTACTCGACTTTAACCCGACATAACCTGTCAAACCGTTAAACTTTAACTTATTTGAATACCCCTAATGTTTCCAACTGTGTAGCGCTTTTATCGCCTAGAGAGATACCTAATAAATAAGTTCTGCACACTTTTAAAGTACAGCTAAGTATTCTTGAGATATTAAGGGGTTCCATATTATCATCTTCTCCTCTACTGTACACTTTTTCTTTACAAATATCATAATTTAATTATTAAAATAATAATTACACATATTATCATAATCCTATTATTAATCCTATTATCACAAATTGTAGTATGCTATATACTATCCGCAGTATCACAATCATACTATTTTAATAATAACAAAATTACTAAACGTAAAATAAAAGTATTTTTTAAATAACTCTTTAGAAAATCTGAGGAAAATAGTTTCGGCTACGTCGCCAAAACTCTCTTCCAATTTCGGCCGAAACCGAAACTCCGATTTTTGGCCAAATCTGGCCAAAACCGAAAAAAAATCGAATTTTCAGTCGGACTCTAAAGGGTTCTCATCCAAATATTTATATAATCATAGAAACAAATAATCTTTTCGGGTGCTATTTTTTATGCTTTCGAGATTTAAGTTGGAATAGTCGCTTTTTCCGAAAATTTCGATTTTCATAAACATTTCTTTCACTTTGAGAAGCGTCAGTATAATAGTAAGTAAAATAAAAATATTTTAATAAAATGCAAATCTTTATGACACATGATCTGGGAGAGGAAAAGGGTACAAATGTCAACTCTTTGTAAATCCATCTTCGCTCGGTATCAAGATCATAATAGGATCGCTTATCCTCTTCGTTCGCTCGCAACACGCGAGAGAGAGAGAGAGAGAGAGAGAGAGAGAGAGAGAGAGAGAGAGAGAGATGCAGCTGACAGTCCGACTCATATCGGTAACGCATACCGCGGGATGCTGCAAAGAGTTGGTCGGCGAGGAGGAAGAGGAAACGGGGAGGCGAGGAAAGAGCTTAAGCCCTTAAGAACATTGTCGTGCGGCACGCGCCGCGTGGGATTCGGGCCTAATGAAAAAGCGAGCGAGAAGAAAGCAAGGCATTCACGGGGATGTCTGCGGGGCCCTAGTGTCACCGTAACCCCATCAAAGTGTAATAATATTTATATTAGGGTGCAGCCCGAGAAAAGAGGGAAGGGTACGCCGCGCGCGATGGGGCTGGAGGCGAGCGAGATGCTTCGTTCGGGGCGTCCACCCCATCTGCTGTACCGGGTGTCTCCTGGTAACGACCGGTCCGCGACTCGTTCGTTCCGTAGATATCGATCGTGGCCCCGTTAACGAGCGCGCCGCATCGATTTATCAAACGAGGTATATATACATGAGGTACACTCGAATAATCGTGCGCGTTTCTCGCGCTGTGTAAACAAAAGCTGGATTACGATTACGTGAATTTTGCTGGCGTAATCCGGAACCACGACTTTTAATAGGAACGTGATAATTTTGCTGGTTTACTTTTCATTATTGTGAATGAAATTGATTTACATTTCGCGCGTTGTATACTCATCGTGAAAGGCGTGTTTGTCATTCTTTTGCCAAAAAATTGAAATGGTTTTTTCTCAAAAAAACGTCACTGCGTGAATTTTCAACCTGTGATCAATTACACGAGAAGATACTTTGGTAAATTAATTGGCCTTTAGAAAAATTTAACAGAAGCTTGACGTAAAGCACGATTACTGACAATGAGACATTTTATCTTGGAATCATATAAGAAGTATGAAAAAATGGAGTATTTTATTATATTTAGAAATAAAAGCAGAGAAATAATTATTTTAGTTAATATAAGACGTATAGACCCAGACAGTATGTTTAAAAGACGTTTTTACGACGTATTTTAGGCATGCGTGCTGTCTGGTCGTGAATTACATGTGCTCTTATTACTGAACATCTTGTACAACAGACAAAAGTATGATAAAAAAATGCAACGAATTATTTTCTACTTATGATGTCTAATTATAAGCATAACAATTCATTTCAGAACCATTTTAGTTCTTCGCTACGTAGGCCAGTAAAATAGAGTCTGGAAATGGCAAAACTGATAGACAAGCTAATTTTTTTATGGTGAGTAGAAAGTCATAGGAGATGCCCGAATTCACAAAGTTCCAACAAAATTTCCCTGTGCGTCGTCGGCTATCTTGAAAATAGGAGTAAGTTTGAATATCTCGGCTCCTATTGGTCAAATTTTTTTTTAGTTTTATAGAGAAAAATATTTGTTACAACTTTTGTTTGAAAAATTTTTTAATAGCTGTCAAAGAAAGAAGTTACAACCAAAAAAGTGCCGTCAATTAGGGGAACATTGAACATTTTTTATTGACACTTATATTGCCCCTTGTTGGTTTTAAAAAAATGTTCAAATAAAATTTTGTAGAGGACTCAATTTTCTACATTTTTTGTATATCTGCTTTTGCGGTGACTCAAAAAATACCAGAGATAGAGGACGCCAAAGTATGTCAGCAAGACTGTACCCAAAAGAGAACTTTTTTTGCGAACTGTGTTTTGGTTGAATTCTGGACAGTAGACAACAGAGTAGGCCTGCGTTGCAGGGAAACGGTTTTTACGGGACCAGATGCCTTTGTGTGCTCCGTCGACAGTTGTGTCATTTTGGGTTAGTCGTGAACTGTATTTCGAGCGTTTCGGAGTGAAACTCTACCTCAGTGGTGGTGCAGAAAAGAGTTTTATAATGTACGACAATTCACAATAAAACCGCGAATTTTCCCCACGAAAAATAGCATTTACTAGACACAGTCAACTTTGGCGCTCTCTATCTCTGGTATTTTTTTGAGTCACCGCAAAAGCGGATATACGAAAATTGTAGAGAATTAAGTTTTCCACAAGTTTTATTTGAACATTTTTTGATAAAACCAACAGGGGGAAATATAATTGTCAATAAAAATGTTCAAATTGACGGCACTTTTTTGGTTGTAACTTTTTTTCTTGACAGCTATTAAAAAATTTTTTAAACAAAAGTTGTAGCAAATATTTTTCCCTACAAAACTAAAAAAAAAAAAAACGAAAAAATTTGACCAATAGGAGCCGAGATATTCAAACTTACCCTTATTTTCAAGATGACCGCCGATGCACAGGGAAATTTTGTTGGAACTTTGTGAATTCGGGCATCTCCTATGACCTTCTACTCACCCTCAAAAAATTGGCTTGTCTATCCGTTTTGTAGATATTCGGTGTTTTTGATGCTAATTTTACTGGCCTAACGATAAAGCGTTCGTTGTGCGCACCACTTATTTTGTGAAAATTACATAAGTCATACATATAGGTATACTTCGGTCGCATATAATCATCTTCTCAGATCTTTACGTGTCCCAGATCGGTAAGGTTGACGCGTCGGTGA